ACTGTCATATCTGATTTCAAGATTCTCAATTTCTCTTATTCTTTTTAGAAGAGACTCATTTTCAACTTCCAGTTTGTCTCTTTCCTTAATTAAGAGATTAAGTTTGCACTCAGTCTCTTTTCTTAAGTCTGAGATTTCTAACTTTAGCTTATTGTTCTCCTCTTTAATCAAAGAATAAGTGTCTTGGATAGTTTTGAACTCTTCCCAAAATGATGACATTGGATCATCATTTAAGGCTGTGCCTACCGAAGAAGAAATAGAATCAGCTGTAGAATATACCTCATCATCAGACTGTGCCATGAGGCAGAGGTCCTCGGTCTCTGTATCCAGGCAACAAAATGCTTCATCAGAGTCAGACTCAGAACTGGACTCTGATTCAGAAAGAGGATCTCTTTCAGCTTGTTCTGAAATGAATGCCTTCCTCCTTCTGTGTTGTTCTTCATGTTTCTTCTCTTCTTCTTGTCCTTGCTTCTTGGACACTCTTGGAAAGGGACAGTTGGCCTTGAAGTGTCCAGGCTGTCTGCAGTTGTAGCAGAGGTACTCTCCATTGCTTTCTGAAGACTTGGTCTTCTGAGGAGGTCTTCTACTTGAGGATGGACTCCTTCCATCTTTCTTCATGAATTTCCTAAATTTTCTGGCAAAAGCAGCCATATACTCGTCAGATAAGAGGGTAGAAGGGTCAAAGTTATTTACCTTAGAAGTGCTGGCAGTGAGGGCAGTAGTGGTTCTCTCATCTGGCACTTCTTCCTTTTCATCATCATGCATCTCGAACTCATAAGCTTTGAGATCAGAGATCAGTCTTTCTGTGGGGTAGGTCTTCATGTTCTTGCTTTCTTGGACTGCAATCACTTTCATCTTCCATGTTGAGGGCAGTCCTCTCAGAATCTTCATGTTGACCTCCTTGATAGTGAGCTCCTTGCCAAGCTCAGAAATTTCACTGATGAGGATCAACAGTCTTTCATGCATCTTAGCAATGCATTCTTCTGGTAGAAGTTTGAAGTCATCAAACTTCTTCATGGCTATGGTCAATTTGTTGTCTCTCTCCTGTTCATCTCCAGCACCTATCTCATCCAGCTTGTCCCAGATCTCCTTCGCAGTCTTGCACTTCTTGATTCTGTTGAAGTATCTTTCATCTATGGCCTTGTAGAGGATGTCTTTGGCTATGTTGTCAAGGTTGTATTGTCTTTTCTCCTCCTTTGTCCATTCTGATCTTGCTTTTTCAATCATCTGGGGCTGAGAATTATCAGTAGAGTGAGCAAGATTGACCTTCATGAACTGGATAAAGGGGCCATTTTCCAGAACTTCCCACATTTCATCATGAAGAGCACAGAGATGTGCCTTCATCCTGATCTTCCAATCATCATACTTCTGATCTGTGAACATAAGATGCTTTGCAAGAGAGTTATCCATAATAACAAGTAAAGAGGCTAGAAACAAGTGGATCTTTGTTCAGGGAGAACCTAAAAGATTACAAGAACAAGGAGGCTCTGATACCACTTGTTGGTCCCGTTTAAGTTGGTAACAGTCTAGAGGGGGGGGGTGAATAGACTGTTATAATTTTTCAAACTTTTCTCTAAGTCAGAGTTGACTTATCAGATAGGGTCGAGTTCTGATGATCAGAACTGGGTCTTGCAGCGGATAAGAGTTCCGGGTAGCCTCAAGCAGATACTAAGGCAAGTGCCTTTCTGATAACTCTGAGAACAAGATCTGCTGAACACAGAGTCCAAGTTCTTAGGGAGTTATGCAGTTGTGTTCAAAAGTGCAGAAAGTAAAAGCGTAAAGTAAATGACACCAGTGTTTTATAGTGGTTCAAGGAACAACGCGTTCCTCTAGTCCACTGTTCCACTAAGCTTTGAGGTAAACAGTTACAAAGCTTTAGCCCTAGCACTTAAGAAGTTCTCCACGTCTTCTTTAAGCCTAGATGTCACCCGGGATGCAGTCCTGCTTCCTGATGACTGGTCCTTTCACTCAGCTTCCCGGAAGTATCACCACTTCACTACTGCACTTACTTGGACGCCCTTCTTTGCAGAAGATGTTCTGAAAAACAGAGTTTTTCTCCAACTTGCTTCGTTACAAAAGATGTAGAAATGAAGTTCTTGAAGTGTTGAAGAACTGGATGAACTTTGCTCTTGGTTGGGATTGAGAGATTTGAATATTTAATCTTCCCAAAGTAAGCTTTTTCTTGTAGAAGGATTTGAAGATTGAATCTCAAGAGAGCTTGTAGAATGGTTGTAGGGAGCAAAAGTTGTAGCAAAAAATTATCCGGTTGTTCTTCATCGAGTATCTTTTATACTGGGGTTGTCTACCCGTTGGAGGAGGAGACAACTGCATTGAATGCGCATACTGTGGAGTTGACCGGTTGGACCCGCAGTTTTGGCAGGTTTCTATTTTTGTATAATATTCTCCAGGAATCTTGGTCAATCATCTGCAATAACTCCACAGCGTATCAGGCTCATTAAATGAGCATTAAATGCTTTCCTTTGATGAAATATCTCCTAGCCGTTAGAGGATTTTCCGTTTGTTATACGGCCGTTGAAAGCAGCTTCGAAATCTTTCTAAGTGTTTATCCAGGTCTGATGAGATTATCTGATGGCATTCTGACATTGGATTCTGATGAACTTAGATAAGTAACTCTGATACTTCTCTGAAGTTGAATTCTGATGAAGCTTTACATCGAACTCTGATAGTTTTCTGATGAGCAGTTCTGATGCTTCTCTGATGGGCAGCTCTCATGGATCATCAGACTTGAAGTTCAGCTAGCATCTCTCATGAATTGCCAAGAGCAACTCTGAAGGCAATTCTCAGCTCTGATGCTTCTCTGAGGAGCAACTCTCATAGCTTCCCGAGAGCAACCCTGAAAGCAGCTCTCTTGGCAGTTCTCATAGCAGTTCTCATAGAGCAGCTCTGATCAGATCCACACAGAGCAACTCTGACTGTCGACTATACTAATACTTACAACTAAAAAATTCTAACACATAAAATCTAAATGGGGGTATTCTGAAATTCTAATCTAAATAACCTAGCATCATCAAAATCTAATTACATTTATTCCTTACATATACACTTTAAAGGTTTGATGCATTAGGCCTTTATTATAGAGTCATTCTTGGTGTACGTAAAATGTACACAAAATTTGTACATTGTCTGTGTAAACAGACAATTAGGTGGATGTTGGCATCAAATTCTGCCCCTTTTTAATGAATTGTTAATGTACACTGACAAGTATGATGGTTTTGTGTACAATTCATGTACACTAAGAATTTTTCATTACACATCTATTTTAAATGAATGGAAAATTTTAGTGTACATGAATTGCACACAAAATGTACACAAAAACACAATATTGTGTGTGCGCACAGAGAATATATACATTTTGGAAACATTTGATGTACACCTTAAATGACTTAAATGAATTGAGAATTTTGTAAAACCCGTATACCCCTCATTTTGGATACATTTTTTTTTGTATACCCATCATCTATGTATCTATCTTACGAGTTTTTTCCAACAATAATGTAAAATAAAAAAATATTTCCCAAAATAGGGTTTGGTTAAAAATATTTTCTAAAATACTGCTCCCCTAAACTCCAGTTAAAAGAACAAGTGGCGGCTTATATGAGAAAACGACTTAACCACGCTGAAGCTTAAAGGTAATGAGTGACGCACGTAGCAATATGACATAGGCCCCACAAAAATAAAAATCCCATTTTTAATTTAAAACAATATAACTTTTTTATTTGTACTCTGATCATTACAAAAAATACATCAAAATTTATAACTTTTTATTATCTTTCATATGACACCAATATCGAATATATAAAAATAAAAAACATAATTTAACATTTTAATTTTTTTGTAAATGTTATATCTTTTTTATACACCGATTGTTAGAAAAAATATATTAAAACTCATAACTCTTTGTTATTTTTCATGAGACACTAATTTTGAATATTTAAAAATTAAAAATCAATTTTATTAATTTGTGCAGTTTGGAATCGTTTTTTACAATACACACATCTTATTTAGAGTGATAGTTTATAATAAAACTATATAAACTCCATCACTTTTATTATCATTTTATTCCTTGTTTAGTTTTAGGATGTTTTCTTTTGGACTGTTTTCAGTCCCATACTGGATTAGACTAGACCAGTTCAGACCAGACCAAATTTAAACTGACCAGACCAGACCAAACTAGAGTTAAACAGAACAGACTAGATCGAACTTGAACAATTAGAAAAACACAAAGGCGAGCTAGATATTTACCAAATCGAACTTAAACAGACCAGACCAGACCAACAAATTATAAAATTATAGTCCAAAAGAAATCATCCTTATTCTAATCTATCACTACTCATTATTTGTGAATTTAAATTTATCCTAAATTGCATAAATATTTAAATTTGTATATTCAAAATTGGTGTCATATGAAAGATAATAAATATTTATGAATTTTGATATATTTACTACACATAAAAAAGATGTAACATTTAAAAATGGGGGTTTTCATAAAAATGTAATTATTTCTTAGAATAATGTAATTATATTAAAAGCGGTTTTAATATAATTACATTTACAAAAAATGTAATTTTAAATAAATGTAATTATTTATATGTAGTATTTTTTAAAGTGTTAATTTTTAAAATTTTTATATATTCCATATTGGTGTCATATGAAAGATAATAAAAAGTTATGAATTTTGGTGTATTTTTTGTAATTATCTGAGTAAAAATAAAGAAGTTATATAACTTTTAAATAAAAATGGGATATTTATTTTTGTGGGCCCTATCTGATGGTAGTACATACGTTAGTTGCTTTGGCTTGCCTCTGCATGCGGTACCTATTTTCATATTAGCCGCCACGGCGGTTCTTTTAACTAGAGTTTAAGTGAGCAGTATTTTGGGAAATATTTTTAACCAAACCCTATTTTGGGAAATATGTTTTTTATTATTGGAAAAAACTCCTATCTTACGCTGTCATTGTAAAACCCTAGACAGCGGGGTGCGAACCGCCACGTGTCAATCGCCCCCATTCATGGTTTCCCCTTATTTAGGCAAACAAACCGTTGGGTTCTTCTTGTGCTGCTGCTGCGGCTCAGTTGTGGTGGAGATGGAAGAAAGTCCGGATGAGATTGAGGTTTGTAAAATCTTGCTTGACCTCGGAAACGTGTTTCGCGAATCAGTGTGCAGATGGGGCTGTAAGCGGAGGAGATCTAGCGGCGGCGGCGGCGAGTTCTCGGCAAGGAACATTGTAAAAGTCTTGAGTCCTGACACCCCACTCTCCTTCTGCCCCACCACTGAATCTGATGACAACAAACACTCTCAGAAAAGGGTAAATTTATTTGTGATTTTGATTGTATTTATATTAATTAATTAATTACGGAGTACTAAGGAAGGTTTGTGCTTTTGCGGGTGGCAGAGTAGAGAGGAATGGAAGAGGGAAATAGAGGGATTAACACACTGTAAAGAAATGCTGATCCAGGTAAAAGTCCTTCATTTTATTATTATACGGAGTACTAGTTGATTTTTTTTACTGCTTGATGTTTTTACAGCAATTGGAGACTGCGAGAGTTCACTATGATACCCAGAGGCTTTACAATCTCAAGTTGAAAGCAATGAAGCAGGAGGAGAAGGTATGGCTTGACCATGATGATGATAAAATTTCCCAAACTGAGTATTTTTCTAGAAACAACTCAAAACTGTCCTTAATCGCAGCGGCGGCGGCAGCAGTTATTGACTTCTTCATTCCACAAACAACAAGAGGCTTTTGTGAGGTTAATTGGGCCAGCCAGAAGTGTAGCCCAACAGCTTCAATATCCAGTCATTGTTGGCCACAAGGATTGGTTCTCTGCGCAGGACTTTGCAAACAAGAGTATGAAGAAGGCCATGTATGCTGAGGCACGGAGGAGCAGAATGAACAAATTGAAGATTAGGGGAAGGAGGAGGCCATAGTATCATGTTTCCTTCCACTTTTAAATCCCTAGCTTTTTTATTGTTTTCGTAGTTCGCTTCTCAATTTGTAAATCCTCAGTTTTGGTTTTCAAACACTTGAGTCAGTTCATTAATACCTGTACAAAAAATGGCATGAAAATTTTGAGAATGCTAATCTCATTGTCATCGGTCTTTTTTAGAATGATTTTCTCATATACGAGAATTTCTTTTTTCATTTTTCTCACAACAAGTTTAAATTCTCTTTTGTTTTTAGGAAAAATTACAATAATAATCTCACCTTTAACCGTTATTCTTATAATACTATCAAATTTACGTAATATCAAAATAATTCAACATTGCACTCATTTTCTTTCGCTAGTCACTCATAAATTGATGACCTGTTATAGTAGTTTTTTGCATTTTCTTAGAGAATACTCCGTATTACTACGTATATAAATAATCACATTTTTCACAAATTTGTCAGAAAAAAGTCTCATGTTTCATTTTTTCTTTTTTACTCCTTGATATTTTTCTTTCTTTTTTTGAATAAAAACTTCACTTTCATTAATTCAAACTTTCACTGTTCAACTGACTGACAATACAATCAGGCGGACTACATATCAAATAATAATCATTTGACATAGAAAGGGTAGCCTGAGCAAGCTTATGAGCTACCACATAAGCATCAAAGCAAAGTAGGGAATCCGTTTCCACGTCAACATTCTGCCAGCCTTACGCTTGAACCCATCGTACGGCCTCCCGCACTTCCATGGCCTTCGTTATCTCTGCCGTCCAATTGGTTTCCTTCGTCTGCCATCCTCCCTTCATAAAGTTCCCATGCTCTTCCCTTACCATCCATGCCCAGGCTCGCCTGTTCCTTGTCAGGTCAAGTGCCACATCAACATTAACCTTGATCCTTCCCAATCCTAGCTTCTTCCAGCACACATGTCTCTTTTCTTTACTCAGTCTACTTCCCGCCTTTTCAGATTCCTGCCAGCCTCTGAGAGCTGCCGATCCAATCTCTAAACGTTGTTGCTAGTTTCCCTCCTTATCCTTCCAAACCTTTTCATTCAGAATCTTCCACAGACTCCATAAAGTAGCAATGAAGTAGCATAAATCCTCACCTTGCAAATTTTCAAAAAAGTTTTTAACCCAGTTAGTAAAATCTCCGCCATGTATGATGAATCGGGTTCCCAATTTTTGCCACACTATCTACGCCACCCTACATTGCCGAAACAAATGGTCCTCAGTTTCATCAGCCTCCTCGCAGAGCTTGCATGTTAAACCCACATCCACTCTCCTTTTGCACAGATTACTCGTCAACGGTAAAACTCCCGACATTAGCCTCCAGACAAAACACTTCATTTTTGGGGGAATATGTAGATTCCACATTCCAGTGATCCAGTCCATCCCGTCCAACCCCTCGGGGCACACTCTCCCTGAGAAGCCTATAACCACTTTTCACCGTGTAGATACCCCTGTTACCTCCATTCCGGTACAGCCAACCAGAAACATTCCGATTACCGATCGGTATCGATAGAATTGCATTTTTGTCTTCTTCTGAAAAAACTGGTTTTATTCTCTCAAGGTTCCACTGGTCCCCTGTCGCATTGATTAGGGCCGCCACATTCATGCATGTGATCCCATGCGGTGGCGCTGACCGTATTCGCCCAGATCCCTCTCCAGGCAGTCACCTCTCCCGCCACACAGGTATTGTTTGCCCATTTCCCACCTTTCGTCGCAGCCCCTTATCAATTAGTTCCCGAGCCTCCAAAATGTTACTCCAAATAAAAGAGGGATTATATCCCAACTTAGCCTGCACAAAAGATGAATTAGGGAAATATTTGGCCTTAACAATTCTCGCCACAAGGGACTCAAGATTTTTTATTATCCTCCACGCCTGCTTGCCAAGCATAGCGATATTAAAATCCCTTAAAAATTGATATCCCATTCCTCCCTTTTATTTAGGCGCGCATACTCTGTCAATTTTTCCAAATGATTCCTTTCTTGTTCTCTCTCGTCCTCCTCCACCAGTAATCATTCATGATGATTTCTACCTGAGAGCACAACTCTTTCGACAGTAAAAATACATTCATTGCATAAGTAGGCATAACCCGTATAACTGTTTTTAACATGATTTCGCGCTCTGCCTTTAATAGAATTCTGTTATTCCAGTTTCGAATATGGCGGACAATACACTCCTTGAGATAACTAAGGATTTCTTTTTTATCCCGTCCAATCAGAGAAGGGAGCCCCAAATAACTAGCTTTATTTTCTGCCGTTCCCACCCCTAGCAAGTCACAAACTCCTATCCTCCTTTGCTCCTCTAAGGCTCTTAGTTTGGGCTACACATCACTCATGATTTTTTATAATTCACCTTCTGCCCCGAACATCTCTCATAAGCCCGTAGAATGTTCTGAATCGTAATGCACTCACTTTACTTGGCTCCGAAGAATAAGTAACTATCATCAGCAAAAAAATAAGTGTGATACCTTTGGTGCCCCCTCGTGCCACCGTTATTCCCAGAATGTTTCCTTCCCTTTCGTGTCTCCGTATCAACGCGCTAAGCCCTTCAGCCACCAAAATAAATAAATATGGTGATAACGGGTCCCTTTGTCTCAGGCCTCTGCCAGAAATCACTGTCCCAATCACACCATCATCAAAAGGGATGAAATATTCCACCGTTGGGGTGCATTCCATTACCAGATTTATCCATTTCTCACCAAATTTCATAGCTCGCATCAATTCCTCTAAATAGCTCCATTAAACCCTGTCATAGGCTTTGCTCATATTTAACTTTATGGCAACGTAGTCATCTTTCCCCCCGAGTCTTTCGTTTTAAACAGTGTAAAGACTCAATGCAATCAACATTATCAATTATAGACCTGCCCAGGACAAAAGCACTTTGGTTCGTGGCAACCAGATCATTGAGAATAAATTTTAATCTAATAGTCCGCACCTTGCTAAAAATTATAAAAATCACATTGCACAGCGCTATAGGTCTCCAACCCCCATTCCCTCAGGTCTATCTTTCTTAGGGATCAAAACAACATTAGTTTTATTTACCTCAGTTGGGACCTTCCCTGTTGTCCAGATGGTCTGGGAGAATTTAACCACATCATCTCCCACAATTTCCCAGCCGTGTTGGAAAAATGCCGGATCTAATCTGTCCGACCTTGGTGCCTTATCCGGGTGCATAGAATACTACTACAATACAATACGCTAGTATATAGCGAATTATTCAAGCTGCGCACCTCTCCGATCTCCAAGTTATGCATCCCTTATATTCCATGAACCCAAACCAGCTCTCTGGTCTTCAGCAGTATCGTAGAAATTAAAAAAAATCTAATTCCAAATTCACCTTTTTTGTTTAATATTCGGACTTCTTCTCTGGGAGCAGTTTTCTTGCTCAGAAGACGCTCAGATGGATTGGACGAGAAAGAGGAGGGACACACAACTTTCTTTCTTCCATTAATTTTTTATTTGAATTCTTTATTTAATTCGGAAAGGGTGTATTTGAATTTTGACTATATACTACATCAATAATCACTTTTTTACCAAACACTTCAACTTTTTGTGTTTTAATTAAAATCACTTCTATTTACAAACACTACCAACTTTTACTTTTAATCACTTACTCCGAAATCACTTTAAAAATTCACTTTTTAAAGTTGAAGCAATCACAAACATTTCTAGAAAGCACCGCCAGTAATCAGTGACTTTTGTGGCTTACGAAAGAATCCTTTGGCGGATGCTGGTTAAACCGCTATCTCCTTGCTAGTGGCTGGGATAACTGGATATTGTCGTTTCTCTTTTTCTTTAGTCTCTCAGAACTATTTTACACTGCATGCTTTCCCTTCTAGTAGTAGGTGCAACTTAGGTGTTAATGAAGTCTACCATATTGTGGGGTTAGCGAGTTGGACCGCTTTTAAGCATGACCCCAGCTCTTAGTCTCATCCCAGTGTAGCTTTTGATATGGCAAATTTGTATCTGTGTTTGATCTCTTTTAATAATAATTAAGTTGCCTATTGCCAAGAAAAATATAATATCTAAAATCGATGTTTAAATTTTAATACCATTGCTCAAAAAAGTCAAATTGACCAATTTTTGGGAAAGAAAAAGGGAAAACTATCAAATAGGCCCTCGAACTATACCGAAAATGTCAATTAAGTCCTCGAACTAAAAAAACACTCAATTAAACCCACCAACTTTAGAAAAACAATCAAATTCAAAATTTAAGAAAAAAAAACCTCCGGTTACCCGGTCACTGAAGTGACGTGGCTATCCAAGTCTAATTTTTCCATTTTCTTTTTGTTTTTCATTTTCATTTTCTTTTCCCTCCTGTTACCTATAGCCATTCTTCTTCCGCCGTTTTCTTCCCGGCTTATTTCTTAGCTTCTTCCTTCTTCTTTTTATCCTTTGTTTTCTCTTAGTCCTTTTTTCTAAGTCTGCAACGTCGTTGGCCAAGCGGACAGTGTGCCGGAGATGTAGAATCCGTACCCCGGATTTCGAACACGTCAGTCAACCGCGCGCCATCCCCGATCAAGCATTGCGGCGTAACATTCTCTTGAATTTAGAGCTCCTCGGCCCAAGACGCTATACTGTCAGAAGGTTTTCAAGATGTACGCCAAAATTCAAAGCTCTTCAGCCAAGCTGCCATCCTCGCCAAAGTTTTAGCAGACGTACGCCGAATTCTTTGGCTCGTCGGCCAAGCCGCCATCCTCGCCATCGTCTGCAGCCTTCCCGAACTAATTCTTGTCTCCGCCAACGAAGACCAGCACCAATAACGTCGCAACAGGAAGGTGAAGATATCTGATTCTCTGCTGCCCAAGCCGCCCTCTTCGCCGGAGTTTTTCACTTGAAGCAGAATGTGGCAGATTGATGAAGAAGGCGGAAAGACGTTAAGGTGGGAAGAAGAGTGAAGAGAAATGTGAGAAGGAAAGAAAAAATCCAAGAAGAAGAAGGGGTTCCTACGTACAGGAGGGTTGGGCGAAACAAAGAAGGAGAAGAAAAGGTGGTGAGGCGGAAGAAAAGAAGGGAAAGAGGAAAAAAAGAACGAGAAAAAGGAAAAGAAATTAAAAAAAAAAGTAAAGTGCCACATCAGCAACATAACCGAATAACCGGACTTTTACCTTCTGGATTTTGAATTTGATTGTTTTTGTATAGTTGGGAGTTTAATGAATTTAATTAACTTTTTTGACATAGCACGAGAGTAGACAATTTTTCCAAACAAAAAATAGA